GGGGGGGTTCCCTGCTTTCCTTGAAGGAGGAGGCTTCTTAAAGAGCTTACACTTAAGTCTCTAAGAGGGGGGGCACCCACCCCACCCATTACCCTGGACCTGTGGAGAGTCCCCTGGGCCCAAGCCTGGCAGCGCAGAGCTCAACAACAGCCCAGCCAGGTAGGTCTTTGGCACCCCCCCCAAACACCTGGCAGAGGGAGGAAGGGAAGGCGGGTGGGGAGTGGGCGAGCAGGGCTGGTCTCTCTCTCCCCCCCCCCACGATGAAAAGGGGTCGCCATCACGACGCAGCCCCCTAGCAGGGCGGGGGTCCCGGCCCCCCGAGGGAAGGGGGCAGCGCCCTGGACGGGAGCCACAGGGCCGCCGCCCCTGCAGCGGAGACGCCCGAGGACCGGCAGCGCTTCCCTTCCCCACGCGCCATGCCAAGGCTTCAGCCCAAGAAAGTCGCCGGACTCTAGGACCCCGCCAGGCTCGGGATTCCTCCCGGCAGCCGCGGCTTCCGGTGGCGAAGGAAAAAAAAATCGGGAGAACGTTGAAGCCAAATCGGAAGCGTGATCAAAGTGCCCTTCTACTAGTTTCGTAGCTCTAGACTCGCGGTACGTTGTTTGCATCACGTGCTCCGACCAGGTGAGTGGGAGGGCGGCCTTGGCGTCCCCCAGCCAATCAGGAGACGGGGTGCCCCTGTCTTCTGTTCCATCATTGGCCGGCGCGGTCACATGGGCGGCCGGGACGGCGGCAGGATGTGAGCTTCCCAAAGGGCTTGTTTTTGCTTCTCCGGCGCCCGGGATGGAGGCGGCCGGGATGGCGGCGCGGAGGAGCCTCAGGTGAGGAGGGCGAAGGACGGGGCGGGAAGCGCCGGGGCACCCCTGCCCGCGCGCGCAGGACAGGCGAGAGGGGGAAGGGGGGTTGGAGGAGAGCGAGCGCTCTGACGTAACGGGGGGGATTCCCCCGCCCGACCCACGTGGTCCGAGCGCGGCGGGCAGAGCACCCGCGAGCATGGGCAGAGCGCCTCCCACCCCCCCCCCCCCGCAGGGAAGGAGGGTTCGGCGCCTCTCCGGCCGGACCCTTTTCGGGGCTGCCCGAGTCCCCGGCCGGAGGGGAGGCGCCTTCCCCGCAGGGACAGCAGGTCCCGCCAGGCGCCCTCCTCCCCGAGGTTTCCCCTGGCAAAAGCTGGGCGGCCGCCCAAGAGAACCGGCCGCCCGACGCTGGCCCCTTCCTCCCCCTCTCCCTCCTTGAGAGCAGCGCCTTCGGAGTGAACGGGGGAGGGAGGGAGGGGGGTGGAAGAAGAAAAGGGGGCACCAGCGAGACCGGGGAGGCTCTCTCTCCCT